GGGCTTTGACCATAACTGAAGCAATATTTGAACACCTATGAAAAGTTAAAAAAGCTCAGATCGAATCTAACCTTCTGCCTGCCCGTTTCATTCTCTTAATATTAAAAAGTTTATAGTACTAATATGCTCTGTGCTATGAAATATATGATGGGAGTTGCACTAGCTGCCAATGCTTAAACTAGACCTGAAATACAATAAGTCAAGTCCATTCTTCCAGTTGCATCAAATAATTCTGTAATTGAAAACTTAGGCTGTCTTTCTAATTCATGAAGCAGAGAAAATATTAGATACCAATTGAAATAGTAGCCATACAATGCTAACAGTAGAGAATATAGAGCGACACACAGTGAATACGCATATGAATTAAAGTTTACTGTTACTTCAAAATCCACATCGTGCATTATAAGCTTTGGTTCTCCCAAGGAACTGTATAATGCTCCAGGAATATTGCTAAGAATAAATGCTTGCTTTTCTCTGCTTAGAACAAGTCTGTGAAAGAAAGTAGCTTGCTTGCTCTACAGAGAAACTAATATCTCACTACAGTATGCAAGTATTTTAAAAAACCACTTGTAGCAATGAAATATTCAGAGATTGAAAGCAACTACAGGTGTCTTACACTTAACTAACAAGCTGCAGGTAAGCTAAGTGCCAAAGCTATAAAGTTCAATTTGAAACAGTCACTAAAGGCTTCATGTTGAGATACCATAACCCACAGTTCTGAAATCAGTAGAAGCTGTAAACACTATACACACAAATGAAAAACCCAGATCCCAAATCTTTGGATCTTTGCCTTTATAACCAAGAGAAGCATGAAATTCTGCTAATGTCACCTTGGCTATGCTAAAAATACCGAAGCAGAAAATATAGTAAATCAAAAATACTTAAAAAAGTAAACCAACCCCCCCACCAAACATGAGCCTTTTTCCACTGTAGGCACCATAATTTTACATAATAAAACATTTATAACATTCACGATTAGGTATTACATATTGAATTAAACCATAATGTTTTAAAAAGTTTATATTTTAAATTTTTCACTCTTGATATCATATTGATTCTATTCTTGCTTCCCCCAAGTTTACCCAGGCACACAATGAAACCCTAACAAGTTCTTGTCAAGTAGAGCTATCAATTAGGAACACCCAACAATAGCGTCAGCTGTTTTCACTGACATTACCATCATGTTCTCAAAATAGAAGCATCGTTAGGGGGCAAGGTCAATCATGAAAATTATTTTTTCATTCCCTCAAAGAAGTTGATTCTGAAATACCGAATAAGATTCAAAATCTTAGAATTATAGAAAATTAGGGTTGGAAGGGGCCTCAAGAGGTCATCTAGTCCAACCCCCTGCTCAAGGCAGGACAACCCCCATCTAGATCATCCCAGCCAAAGCTTTGTCTAGCAGGGTCTTGAAAACCTCTAAAGATGGAGCTTCCACCACCTCTCTGGATAACCTGTTCCAGTGTTTTTCTACCCTCCTAGTAAGAAAATTCTTCCTAATATTTAACCTAAACTTCCCTTGCTACAACATTAGACTGTTGGATCCTTGTTCTGTCATCTGCCACCACTGAGAACAGTCTAGCGTCATCCTCTTTTGAACCCCCCTTCAGGTAGTTGAAGGCTGCTATTAAATCCCCTCCCAGTCTCCTCTTCTCTAGACTAAATAAGACCAGTTCCCTCAGCCTGTCCTCATAAGTCATGTGCCATAGGTACGGGGTGCCATATGCATGTATGTGCACATGGCCACCAGGCAGCTTGGAAAGCAGCTCCCACAGGTAAATTGGGGGAGGGGGGAGAACTGAGGACCCCATAGGGTGGGAGTTGGGTAGGGCTCAGACTGCTGCCCAGCCAGGGGGGGTTGGGGACTGGGGCCACAATGCGCAGCCGCAAGGGGGCTGGCTGGGGCCACCTCCTTACAGTCATGTGCCCTCCTGTAGGGGATCTGTGCCCCCCAGATCTGTGCGAGGATGGGGGCAAGTTGCTCGTTGCAGACTCAGGCTCCCTTCCTACTGCCTCTGTAGCCCGGTGGGTGTGACCTGGCACAACAGGGCCGCACAGGGGGCTGCACAGGAAAGTTGCTTGCTGCTGTGAGCTCTGCAGTGCCCTGGAGATGCATCCTTTGTGTGCCCAGCAGCAGTGAGGGACACAATCCCATTCTGCTGTGCCCCCATGCAGAGAACACACTGCCAGTGCAGTGTGGAGCTCGCAGAGGCAAGCAGCTGTCTTGCACAGCCCTGATGTGCGCTGCACCACCAGATTGAACCTGCCGGGCTGTGGAAGCCCTGGGGGAGGGCAACAAGCTGGGAGCCTGAGCTTGCAGAGGGCAGCCCACATGTGCACCCACCCTGTGCATACATTTGCAGGGCACGGGTCTCCTCTCTCCGCCAAAGCCCACAGCAGGCAGGCAGCGGGAGGGAAGGAAGGGGAGAGCCAGGCTCTGCTCTGATACAGGGGCTGTGGACCCAAGTCCCTGGCCCTGTAGCCCTGGCAGCTGGGGGCCCCCTCTGGCAGGGCTGGAGGGGCTGGGGGGAGGTGAGGGGCCTGTCATTTTAATTATGGATTTTGGGGGTTTTATTAGAGCATTTGAGAGTTTTTAATCATGGAAAACCAGGATCCCTGGTCATGTTGCACTGCAGATGAAATTACCACAATCTGATGAGCAACATTTTTGAGCATTTCCAAGTTTGAGGTTCTAATGTTTTTAAATAATTCCCATTAACAATTTGGAAAATGAGAAGATAACACACACACACAAGTAATTACACCTTATTTAAGATGCATATTCACAAGATGCAGAGAAAACTTATCTGTACTTAATGACTGCAAATGGAACAGTTTCAACTGATAAAATTTAATGGACAAAGGAAAAATATTTTTAAAAGGATAATAGTAGGGAAAACACATTTCTGGTTAGGAACAGGCTATGATCAAAGTTTCAAGAGGCAAAGACTGGGCTGTATATCACATTCAAAATGGTACAGCAATTTTTTTGATCAGAAGTGCTGTCTTACCTGGGACTTTGTCAACAGATGCAAAAACTGAACGCTGTACAGTAGGGTCATTGCTGCCACGTCGTGACTGGTCATAGAATCTAAACGGTAGGTGCTGGGATGTAGATGCAGAGCTATGTCCAAAACCCATCACCTCATTTGAAGGCTGGACAGGAAGATCCAGAAGAGCTATGTAAAAACAAAAAGTTTTTATTAACCAGATCTAAATAAAGGAGATATATGGGAAAATTGCATCAACGGTTTACCCAGAATTCTTGCGCTGCAATTAATTTATAGACCAATCTGCATAACCAGCTTATACTTGCCTTTCCTAAATACAAATTATTTGTTGTTTCATTATGCTCTGCAATTATAAAGAACAGGCAACAATGGCTCCAAAAATGCACATACATATTAAGAAAGCCCAACTAAGCATATAGTATAGAAGGAAAAATGTATTGCCGCAATCTCTTTCCATTATATATGGGATTTTAAACCACTTCAAACATTTTTAGTAACATAAGATCAAAAAGGTCTTATGTTAGTTATAGCACTGCAGCAAGCCATCATATTTGTAGATATGTCAACTGCTGTAGGCAGGCAAAGATTTTCCATGTGCATTTAATCCTTTAGTGCAATTGTGTGTAGTAGTGTTTAAGACCCTAACTCTGAACTTATTCTAAACAGGAATAACAGAAGCACATTTAAAAAAGTGAATTCTATAAGTTATAACTCCTGGGACTAGAAGCATAAGAATATTTCAAATTTACTTAATATAGTAAATACTAGAAAATGAAATATTCCAGGAACTGATTTTAAAACTGTAGGTAGTCTTCAGGAGAGGGATTAACCATATCTCCTATTACAGTATAAGATCCATTGCTTAAAAATTGGACATCAATTTTTCAAATTCCGGTGGCCTGCAGTACTGTACTTCAGAGGCCATCAGACCAGACAATTATGAGCTTCCATGAGATGCATCGATTAAAAAAATTAAAATTAAAAAGCATGCACCCAATTACCTGCTATTCTCTGCATTTTCATACGACGAGCTTGGATGCGGCCCTTTGCAAGACGCTGCTTTGCAATGATGCAGCGAATATGATCCGAAAAAATAAACGTGGCTTGGAGGATGGGAAAGGGTTTAGAGTGGGGGCTAGATGCAGGTTTGTGAATTATTATGTTTAGAGCCCTACTGTCATCTTCTACTCCTGTTACCTGCATATCCTACAAAGAAAAAGAATGGAACGTGTGAGCAAAAGCCTTGTTCATTTTTAACGTTTCAAAATATAGATCAAATAAGAATGTATAATTTATTCTGAATATACAATTAAAACAAAGAGATCTAGGAGTACTAGTTAAAAACAGAGGCAATAAAAGTTACTATAACTTGGCACATGTTTCTGGGAAGTCAGTCCAACAAGGGCACACACAAATTCAAGTAAGTGAATTAAACGCTAAAATTCTTATTGCCATTTTTTCTGGAAATGTGGGTACTGATAGCAGAATAAAAAGGTAAGAAACATACCCATTTCTGCTCAGCATCTAATTATAGGTTAACGTTTTGCTATAGTTAGCAAGCCAAGAAATGTGAATAAGGTATTGACTTATTTAGACTAAATAAGGACTAGTGTAAAAGAGTTTGAAAAGTAAAGAATCACCTTTTTCCTTGGAAAACATAGTTAAATTGATGGACCCTAAGATTTTTCCTTTCTTCAATATAACATACTTTGGTTACCTTTGTATGAAAAAATTCTAAAACCCCTAGAAATTAATGGCTAGAAGGGACCTTGAAAGATTGCCTCCAACCCCCCTGCTTTGGGCAGGAATCAAATTATCCCAGCAAGGTGTCTGTCCAGTCTCCTCTTAAAGACTTCCCAAGGAGGTGGAGCAGTCCCCAACCTTGGAAGTCTATTCTACATGCTGGTCACTCTGACCATAAACAAGTTTTTCCTTGCACCCAACCTGAAACCATCCACTAACAGTTTATGGCCATTGCTCCTTGTCCTCCCCTGGGGTGCCCTAGCGAACAGTTTCTCCCAGCTCCTGATATTTACCCCTTACTTACTTATAGATGACCAAGTCCACCCCCATCCTCCTGCAAGTCTTCTCTTCCCCAGGCTTAACAGTTCCAGGTCCCTTAGTCTTTCCTCATGAAGTTTATCCTCCAATGCCCTTAATCATTCTTGTCGCCCTTCTCTGGGCCCTTTCAAGATTCTCCATGTCTTTTTTTAAGTGTGGCACCCAGAACTGGACACACTACTCCAGCTGGGGTCTCACCAGCTCCGAGTGGAAAGGAAGCATCACTTCCTTAGCCCTGCTCGTGACACATCGGCTAATGCATCTCAATATGCCATTAGCTTTGTTGACTACAGCGTCACACTGACAGCTCATGTTCATCCTGTGATCAATCATAACCCCAAGGTTTCTTTCAGCCATTGTGCTGGCCAGGACACTGCCTCCTAACCTAAGTCACTGGTTATTTCTCACCAAACAAAGTAATCTGCATTTATTCTTATTTAACTGCATCTGGTTCCGCTCCACCCAATTTTAATAGTGAATAAAATATTTCCCAGGCAGACATCTATTCTTTATGTTCCCATGTTGTATTTGTGCATGCATTAACTTTTGAAAGCATGTTTTAGTTGCCTTTTTTCTTTCTCTGTATATCTAACATGGCAGGTATTGGGACTTTTATATAAATAGGTTCAAGATTTTACAGTATGGGTTAATTTGCAATTAATGTCCTGCTGTAGAAAAGTACTTTAGTGAGACCTAAGCACATTCTTGACTTCAGAAAGATACGAGTGTTTATGAATTCTAGTGAAAAGAGGTACCTTCTTGAATCAAGCTTCCATCTAATACACTTAAGAACTTACCCGAAAGATGGAAAATGCCATAAAGCTAACTAATAAAAGTCTATTTATAATTCTACTAAGTAAAGAGGAAAATAGGTATGTTTATCTAAAAATTAAGCCAGATTAGCAATTTGATTTTGCATACAAACAGAATTTTTACCTACCCAAAAAAAATCAATCCTCAAATCTTACCTGCAAAAGGCCTGCAAATTTAACTACTCCCCAGCCAAGTCTGGCAACATCAGGCTCAACCAAGCTCATCTGGTAAATATCCACTGCCAGAAACCTCTGAACCTGACCTCCATCTTTTGTAATCACTGTACAAGCAATTAGATCACTGTTATCTAGGAAGAAATAAAAAGGAAAATAAACAAGATGGATATATTGCTCATTTTGGTCAGCATTTTGATGCATTAGAAATTAATGGCATACTTGACACGTATCCAAAAATTTACTTGTTTCTACTTCATATCCCACATTTCTTTATTATGCCAATTTATACGTAAATCCTGCTTTAAACAGTATGATGGCTTATTTTAGGTAAATGCTCTGACGACCTTGTGCATTATACAGCAGCTCATGTTAAAGAACTATGCTTATTGTTATATTCACTCCATTTGTATATACATAGCATCACCTGATTTCAGGGCTAAATTTCCACCAATTAGCATCTATTTATTGTATTAGAATACAGGTCTTAAAGAACCTCCAGGGTCAGATTCCAGTCTCCTCTTACTGCCTGCAACTTTCGCAGGTGTTTGCTCCCACTACCCCTACTGGAAGACTGTTTCACAAACTTATTGCTCTCAAAGACAGAAAACATTTAGTTTCCGATGAAATTTTCTTTCTTCTCCCATCTTTACTAAGAACGCTGCCTTGTGGCACCACATTAAACACTTTACAGAAGGCCAAATAGATGTGTTCTACTACATTTTCCTTGTCCAGAAAACCTGTTATTTTGAAGAGAAAGCTATAAAAATTATAGCATGATATGCCTTTGATAAAAACATAGCATTTATGTCTATTTTCTGCCTTCCTCTATTTCTCCAATGATTCTTTCCTTCTGATTTGTTTTAAAACTTTGCATATGTTGTTGAGATCATACTAACCTGATCTTTTTAATGAGCCAGATCAGTCCCCATCAGCTTTTTTCCAGTTACATTATAATCACCCTCACTTTGATAACCTTATTAAAGATCTCTGCTACTGAAGTTGCCATTTCTAGTGAAACAGGGATAAAACTTTCCTCACTCACTCCCAGATCTGACTTTATCAATAGCGTTAAGTCTAAGCTCTACTTCCACCTCAGACATTATTTCCATATGCTCATTCAACTGTCATTTTTTTCTTCAGGCCTGCTGATGCAGTCCTGAACTTAATTTATTTTTGAAATGTTATATTTACGCAGATTATCACTTACTAGTCCCCCCTAGCCCCCAATCACTTCTCAGAATAGTAGACCATGCAAAAGGGTGTCCCATCAGTTGCTGTATGGTCTATCTTATAGAAGTTAGCAATTTTCCTAATTAATATCCTTATTACTTCTTGAAGTCCCACCAGCAGATATACAGGTCAAATATACTGAAATGTGTTTGATAGTGATAGGGTTTACAGTAAGATAAACATCTGTTATCATTAGAAACAGACTTTATTCAAACATTCTCTTCTATCTAAAAGGAACTACTACAATTTGAAGGGTTGGTTATTTGTTTCATAGTAGACAGGGTCGGAAGGGACCCAAGCAGATCATCAAGTCCAACCCCCTGCCATGGGCAGGAAAGAATGCTGGGGTCAAACGACCCCGCCTAGGTGATTATCTAGCCTCCTTTTGAAGACCCCCAGGGTAGAAGCGAGCACCACTTCCCTTGGAAGTTGGTTCTAGATCCTAGCGACCCTGACCGTGAAGTAGTGCCTCCTGATATCTAGCCTGAATCTGCTCTCCGTCAACTTATGGCCGTTATTCCTTGTTACTCCCGGTAGTACTCAGAGGAACAGGGACTCTCCCACAGCCTACTGGTTCCCCTTGGCCAGTTTGTAGACGGCCACCAGATCCCCTCTCGGCCTTCTCTTGTGGAGGCTGAACAGGTTCAGGTCTCCTAGCCTCTCCTTGTCTGCCCTGCTGCCCCCTGATCATGTGAATGGCCCTCCTCTGGACCCTCTTGATGTTGTCCACATCCCTCCTGAAGTGCGGCGCCCAGAACTGGATGCAGTACTCCAACTGTGCCTGACCGATGTCATATAGAGGGGGAGGATCACCTCCTTGAGCCTGCTCGTGATGCATCTGTGGATGTATGAAAAGGTACAGTTACCTTTCCTGACTGTGTCCCCACATTGGAGGCCCATGTTCATCTAGAGTCTATAATGACTCCAAGATCCTTTTCTGCCTCTGTGCTGATAAGAAGGGAGTTCCCCAGCCTGTAGGTATGCTGCTGGTTCTTCCTCCCCAGGTGCAGCACCTTGCACTTGCCAGTACTGAATCCCATTCTGTTCTCATCCGCCCACCTCTGTAACCTGCCTAGATCTAGTTGCAGCCTGTCCTTCTCCCCGCATCTTAGTGTCAGCTGTGAATTTGAACGCCTCACAGCTGTTTGTGGAAAACTTCTTAGTATTGATCATTGCTGCAAATACAATTGATCTAAAATGCAATATGCTATTTTATTTATAGATATTAACTTATAAAAACTTTAAAAATCCTTACTATTAATATGTAAATTTAGTTACATCTCTTAAGTGTTCAAAGACTGAAAAATACTTGACTTAATATTAGTGGTCTCAACCTAGCCTCTCAAGTTAAATACAGTTTCTTTTTTATGGAATACACCGACAGCATCAGAAATACTGATTGAATGACCAGAACTGAAGGTGCAGAGTACAGATTACTGCAGTATAAAGATAAATGTCTGATCTGAATAAATACATTGAATGCACAATGTAAAGCTGTATTACACAACAAAAGCAACTGTGGCATCAACAATCAGATGTGAATACAGAAGATATGTCACTACAAGAGCACATAGAAAATAAATTTTTCAAGAGATTCAAAAGTCGTTTAGGAAACTAAGTTACTAGGTCTCATTTTAAAAAGCTTGACAGTCATTTCTGAGAGCTTGCCCTAGCAAAATTTCATGAATGGTTCAAAATGCATTTATGCCCTATAAACTCAACAATATTGATGCAAGGTGACAATGGGGTAAATTTAAGCAGGCTTTAACTCCAGCAGGTGACAGCCGCATAACTTAGAGCATTTGCAAATTATTTTATTTTTCTATCAGAGGACTACGTCTGTATTTAAAATAAAAGTCTGACTTCTCCACTAAGTTTTCCTCAACATACTTTAGATTTCCTTCAATCTGGCAATATGCTCAACTTTTGAAAACTTTATCAAGTAGACTTGCAATATATGTATCTAGCACTATAAAAAGTCTATTTTATTTTCAATGATTTATTATGAATGCTTCTGTTACCAGCCCCTGAACAGATCTCCAGTAGGGCTGTGCAAAATTTTGCCACCAGTTTTTTTTCGATGCTGTTTAGACCCGTTTCAAGGTTGAAACAGCAAAATCAAAACGGAACAGCTATGTTTGAAACAGCCTCAAAACAAAATGAGGCAAGTAGAAACGTTTTGACATTTTGACACTGTTTCGCCCATAGGCTATAATGGGGAAGAGTGAAACAGTCTATAACTTTGTCACTTCTGGCCAGATTTGGACGAAACTTGGAGGAATGATAGCCCCCCTTCTGTGGCCATGAAGCCTGCCAGCTGTCAAGGAGATAGGTGCAGGGGGGTTCTGGCGCCCTGCACCCCTAGCTGCTGACAGGCAAAACACGTGACATTGGTACTTGTGCAACTGCTGCCTGTCATCAGGCAGTAGGACTGAAGATCCCCCATCACTTGCCAGCAAGACCTGGGGGTAATAACTGACTACAGTATGAACATGAGCTGGCAGTCCGATGCTGTAGCCAGCAGGGCCAACAATACGCACGCATGTATCAACTGATGCATCTCCAGCAAAAACATTGCAAAGAAGTGATTCTCCTGCTCTACTCAGCACTGCTGAGACTGCAGCTGGAGTACTGCGTCCAATTCTGGGCTCCACACCTTAACAAGGATGTGATAAAGCTTGAGAGTGTCCAGAGAAGGACTATCCATATGATCAGAGACTTGCACAGCAAGCCATACGAGGAAAGGCTGAGGGACCTGGGATTCTTCAGCCTGAAAAAGAGAAGGCTGAGGGGGGACTTGGCAGCAGCTTACTGCTACATCAGAAGCGTACATCTAGGGCTTGGTGAACAACTGTACACCAGGGCACCCTTGGGGAAAACTAGGAGTAATGGTCATAGTCTGGACACCCTAGTTGTGAAGTAGTTTTTCCTAATGTTGAGCCTGAAATGATCTTCCAGGAGTTTGTGACCATTACTCCTAGTTTTCTCTAAATGTTTCCCACCTAAGTCACTTAAGCTCTGCTTCAAGACAGGATTCCTGAACCTGCTTGGCTACAAAAGTCTTTTTGCTATTAGCACCCTTTGTCCTCTGCCTACTTCCCATTAGTGCTTCTCCATAAGCCCAGTTAATGGCCACACAGACTCTAGTTTGTCCAGATGGTAAAGAATTCAACCTTATGTCTCTGCCTGTAACAACCAAAGCAATATAAATATTAAATTTCCTGTTGCTGCAATTTTATAGTAAAGACCAAAAGGTCCATCTACCAAAAAAAAAATCTTACCATAAAGAATGAATGTCAAGCATGTAAATGAAAGAGTAAAGGTAAAACAGAAAGAAAAATCTACATTGTTCCTTACAGGAAATGGTTTCATTTTAGAGTTAAGACCAAAAGGTACATAACTGTAAAAGATATTCAAGCAACAGAAAGGAAAGCTACACTATTTAGGGAACTGTCACCGGAAAACTTTTGGATTTATATAGTAGCATGTACCCACTTACCCTATTGTTTCTAGTTTAGAGAAGGAAGAAGAGTTTGAGAGCAAGTGGTCAAACCCATTTCCACTTAAATAACCTTAGAAAACTTGTATCTATGCTACAGCCACTCACTAAATGATGTGCTTGTGTGTCAGAAACCTGACTACAGAGAAATTAAAGAATTTCAGGTTGAGTGATACAGAAATACTACAGAAAAAGATCTGGGAACTAATGAACCACAAACTGCATGAGTCAACAGCATGATAGTGTTATGAAAAAGGCATATATCATTTGTATTAAGAGAGTATCATATGCAAGATGAGACGTATTTTTCCTCTATTAATTACGGGTGAAGCATATTATAGTCAGAGTACGTCTTAAGTACGAAATCAAACTAGCAGGAACATCTCCAGAGGACAGCCACTG